CGGGACATCCCCTGGGTGTCCCAATCATGCCCTTGTACCGCGGGGGGACGTACGTAGGACATCCCTGTGTTGTTAGGGTATGCGCTCGTTAACACGTGGCGGAAGTATGTCTAGAATGACGGCAGCAAAATGAATCGTTGTGCCATGGATTTGATTCAACTTGAGGAGTGGCACAGTGGCCAAATTACCGCACAGGAAAGTCTAATTTTTCAACTATTTTTCTCAGAATGCGGGGTCGTCAAGGTCATTAGATTACGTTGCGATGACATTTAAAACTACTGGCATAGATTGAAAGTTAGACATGTTCTCCCGTTGTTTTAAATGTCACCGCGAATAGTGATTGCCACAGGCGTCGTTTCATACAATACAATATTCTTACATACGTTTGGGGCATATGGGATTTCTTCATCAAATGAAGGTTAACATTTGTGTCTGTACTCACTTTCCTACTTTGGGATGTAAAACTCGAATCTGTTATAGTACCACCAAAGGCGAGTTCCAAAAGATAATGAAAAATTATATTCTTAGTGAATATTCCGAAAAATGTCGGTTTGCGCAATATTTTGATTCTGGATTCATGCTCTACGCCTCAAAGTACGTGAGTACGGACAAAAATGGACGGGAAATGACATGGTGTAACTAACAACTCTCACTACCTATATACAAGGTGTTGCGAAATTCGAGTAACTTTTCACATAATATAATAGCTTACTTGATTTGATGAAGAGTTAGGCTGGAATGTGAGGTTCTCATGTGGTTAGAAAAACAGCAGTGTATTGAAGTTGAAAAACGAAAAACTTTTTTCAAGAATAAAGAATACAAAAATGTTGACGATATAGTAACGTTAATCATCCAGTAACCCGCCACAGATTGTTGTACTTTTTTCTCATTTTCTCATTTCCCTACATCGCTGATGAAATTTTGAATATTTTCATTTGTTTTTCAAATCATCTGATCAATCTTGATATTATTTGACTGAGCTGAATAGTTTTCTAGATATGAATAGAAGTTTGTATAGTCAGTTTTCATGATTTTCAATGGTAGAGAATTACAAAATTGTTATTTTTTATTTCTGCATGAAATATTTATTTCGAATGATGTTTGATCAAATATCTTGAAATCTGTCCAGTCTCAGTTCAAAGTAATGCTTTTATTGAGCGTAATTGAATAGGAAATTAGAGGAAATCAAAATACCAAATCAAAATTCACAAAATCAATCTTTATTCTTCAATATGAACACCTGTATTTCGAAAACTGAACACTTGAAGACCTTGTGTATCTTCCCAAGGCATTATAAAATCGCGAGGACTATCACTTGTGTAGCTTTGTTGATCGAATGTCGCAACAACCTGAATAAGAACTAATTATATATCAAGAAGTACCTACCTACTTATTTTATACAGGGTGTTTCATAATTGAATGTCAATATTCGAGGAGGCGATTCTTGGGCTCATTCTAAGAAGAAAGTTTCATATGAACGTATGACCTAAACGTCCCAACTTTTGAGATACAGGGTGGTAAAATTCTCGAAAATTAATATAGCCTACTACAATGAGAAGTTATAATTCGAAAATACCAAATACGAATACAAAGTTCATGAACTATGAATTGTATTTCTGAAATTTGATCTTAAAAATAAAAACTATTTCTCTGCATTGTGATATTGTCATATTAACAATATTACTATAATCATGTAGTGAAAAGCTTTTTATTTTTAAGCGAAAACCGTGCATCAGATTGAAAAAATTGTAGTGATCAAATTTGCTTAGAAATGATCGGGAATTCCAGGAATGATTTCAATTTGGAGATTAATCAGTGGCGTACCATCAATGTCTGCCAAAATAGGTATGTGAAATTCCATACGAACGCCACTGGTGGCAACAACAAAAAATGTGGTACGCTAACTGATGCCTCTTGATACATAGTACATGTATGCCAAATTTCATCAGAATATCTGAAGTGGTATTACAGATATTAATAAAAAACTATTAATTTTTGAGAACTTTACCACCCTGTATCTCAAAAGTTAGGATGTTTAGGTCATACGTTCATATGAAACTTTCTTCTTAGAATGGGCCCAAGAATTGCGTCCCCAAATATTGACATTCAATTATGAAACACCCTGTATATGAACATTTCAATTACATGAGTTCTTAAGTGTTCAATAATTGTGTGAAATCATTTCAAGAAAGAAATTATTGCACCTACTCACGAAAGAACGGAGAAAATAAAAAATATGCAGTTGTGTACCCCAAATGTTTTCCAAATTTTGAAATTCTCGCCCTTACAAATGGGTACTCCCTTATTAAAAGGTCTGAATACTATGATATGGGATTTGCTTTGATATTGCATTCAAACAAAGGGTAATGATCATGTCTGCCCCGCCCTGTTTGATACGTGCCTGAAATATTGAAATTGCTTTACTCCATTCTACAGGGTATATCTTCTTGAGTTATTGCGATCTATATATGGGGAACTATAAGCTGCATGATTGCCACAATTTTTAGGTTCCAAGGTTGGTAGAACTGATGATAATCTTTAATCTCGGTCAGTAAACGCGATGAGGGGATTGGTCATTTATGATGTCATTTAGTCAAAAATTTCATTTTGGGATTATAAAATCTATATTCTTTAACTACTGTCCTGAAATAAATTCACAAATCCCGTTGTGATCTATCTTATATAGATTGAGTCACAAATTTCCACTTCCCCTCAACGCGTTTTGATCGAGGCAACATTCAACATTGGTAGGGGCGGTGGAGAAAATATAGAGAATTCAATGAAATATTCTCCTTATTATGAAGCTTTCAGTTTTTCCGCAAGTGACGTTATCTATGATTCTAATTTATGTATCATGCCCTATTCTTGAAATCAACCTTATTTGAGTTACTCAAGTTTTTCAAAAAATGTGACAATCGCAGCCTATCCAACATACGCCATTTTCCTGTGAATTACAATATCTAGTGTGGCTCACCATACTCAGAACCACTGAATAATTTACAGGGTGCGCAGAAAAGTTGGTCCAAAAAGTGAATGTGAAACATTGAAAATCTCAGTTCGCATTCTCCATGTGATAAAAATATTAATTCTTTCTCGGTTTATTCAACAGAAAACAACTACTTTCCTGGGTAAATGTATAGGAGAAGTATACTTGTATGAACTCTGATCTTGATGAGCTTGGAACTTCAAAATAAAATCATTCGTCTCAGTGATATGGGAATTATATATATTATCATATGCGATGTTAACCTCCTCCCACTATTGTATCATTCATGTAACGATAGCACTTCTTATTGACTTCTTATAGACGAATAGATCCAATGAAAGCGCGTCAGCGACGTAACATAAATGTTTATGAAACAGTGTTTTCAGGTGAGGTTAATGATAAGTCTAGGTGCATTTTATTAGATTTTGTTACGTGGTTGAGTCAGGTGAAATGTCTTTGAATAGTATGCCGTATTCATAGTAAATATTATTAATTAGATTCCCATCGTTCACTCATTCATTTATACTTGCCATTTGATGATGGTGATACTAGTTTGACTGGTCTCAAAACCGTGATAACCCCTGTAACGTCCAAATTATGATATTTTGATGGTACCTCTGTGGAAGTGTTGGCGTAACTTGCAGCAAAATCTTCTTCTTTGAAGGTTAGTCTATTCACGGGCCAGATACCTTTTTCCAATGCCTTCGTGATGTTTTTTCTGTGTAAAACCAGATTGAAAAGCAATCTTTGTCAGCGAAGCAATTTGCTTGATGTTGATAGTTTCTCCAGGGTTAGATGCCATCCTGTCATTGGAAGCAACAGAATAAGTTTGGAATGTTCCGTATACTCCGAGATGGCGAAATTATCATACCATTATCACGACAAAAGTATATGGCTCTCATTTTTGTGTGTGACTCGTGATTGTTTGGAAGGTGAAGTATTTTTTTGATCTTCAGACCTTTGAGTGTGTCTTCGAATGTGTTCTAGTACTTTGAGGAATAATTCTCATGTCATCCAGCCGTTGAGGTTACCCAGAACAATGCTGGAGCATCAAATAAATATTCTTCGGGGTGACGAATTGTAAGGATTCCATAGACTGATGGTAATGCGATTCCTACAGCATTAATAATTATTCCTACTAGTGTGTAGTCGATTCTCGCTCAGCAGAGGAGGCTAGGCTCACTTGTTTTTAGATACTATTTTGACTAGTCTCGGTACCGTGATAACCCTTGTTTGGTTCAAATTATAAATTAGTTCGGGTTTGAAATTCCATTTTTCAATTACTGATAAGTTATTATCGAAAAACTCCAAAACTGTATTTTTGATGGAGCCTGTTGCTCTAGCCAAACTATTCTCAAGTTTTCTCAACCTGATTTCATCTTCATTTCTTTTCAAGAAAAATTTCAAAAATGTCATTCTGTGTCAGCTTTATTTCTGTCATTCTATTTATACCCTTAGCTAGTTCATATCTGAACACGTTTTGATTTATTTCATTAACTCATTCTCCTCATCATTCGAGAAAACTTGGCTCACTGTATATTTACTTGAATACTGATGAAGCTCATTCTCCCTTTCACTCTCATTTCCTGAATCATTATTGTACAATTCAGTTGATTGTGTCGAATAATGTTTGTTCTTGAGTTTCAGTAGTCTTGAATGTAAGGTTCCCTGTTTAACATTGAAATTGTGTCAACCGTCCGAACAGCATTATCTATGTTTTTTTCAATCATGTTTAGAACAAAAATGTTCATTCTATAATTTTTTTTTGGTAATTAATAACCATCCGAAATACAATTTTTGGATTCAAATAATCTCTCGAAGTATGGGGCAGATCCAATCACTGGTTGAAAGTACACCGACTGAATATGGTTGAATATGCCCCATGTCGACTATTTGAGAACTTCTGATATGAGCACTATACCTTTCGAGGTTAAAAAGAACATGGAATTAAAATCTTTAATAATCACCTCGATCAATGACTCAGTGGCGGATACAGAAATAACTCAAGAGGGGGCGCTAAAAGGCTCCAGTACATGATTGATCGATCATGATGGGTCATCGTGTACAGGGCCAGTTTGCCTGTGTGATTGTCGTTGCAAATGCACACAAACTGGTCCATCCACGATCGCCTACCATGGTTGGCCAACGAGATCGGCCATCCAATACTGGGGTCTGAAGATCTCTTGAGCTACCTTTACTTTTATCGTAATAAAAAAATATTAAGTCACATGAAAAGTTGAAGAAAGTTTTATTTAAACTGATTATACACATATACAAGACAATGCCGTCTTATGATATAAAAAAGTTATAATTGTGGTTCTCTTCCTTAAATGATGAATTCTTTGCGCCTATTCTTCCTGGCAAATTGGTTAATTACATCGTCAATTGGACAATCAATGTCAGGGTGAGTGTTCAACAGAGCTAAGCCATTAAGTCGATCCTCCTTCATTGTCGACCTCAGCCATGTCTTTGTACGCCGCAATGTTGAAAAACTTCTTTCTACTGTAGAAATAGATATAGGTAGACAAGCAAATATCTTGTACAGCGTGTGCAAAGTAGGATAGTCAGATTTAGGGCAAACAGACAACGCTAGCATAACAGAATCGCGATCATTAAGGGCGTTAATGCTCGTTTGCTTGTATTGAATAATCTCTCCCATTAGTCTTTTTTTGATCACATATGGTGATTCTGCTTCAAAGAACGGTAGTTCAGTTAAGCACTGATTCAATTTAAGTGTCAGAACATTACCGTCATGTTGTAATAGTTGTGAGGGCAAAAGTATGTTGAATTTTAAATGATAAATATTTTCTTCAGCAAAACGTTCTCTCATGTCAGTCGTAACATGGTCCAGTGTTGGAATAAAAACAGTTCTTTTCCAATATGTCATAGCATCATCATTATGATCACAGTTTTCCCTGTGTCTTTGTCTACCTGTAAGACGAGGAACACTCATCTCCACGTCTAACTCTTCCACAACTGCCTTCGCCTCTTCAACAATACGAGCAAAGTGGCTATCACTATTAGCTCTCATGCCATCGTACACTTTGAGCGTCGAATCTAATTTAGCTTTTGCCATTGCGACGTCCAAGCTAGGATCTTGTAAGATTTTGCTGACTGGATATGTTATGCTCATAATGTCACTCAGTGTAAACAGCGTGACAATAAACTCGCAATTAGAGAGAGCTCGAAGGAGAATATTGGCTTTGGCAGCCGTTGTTCTATCCCTCCAACACTGTATTTCTTTAAGAACTTTGCAAACTGCTCCGAGATCAGCTGCGAATTGAATAACAGCGTCATGTCGCTCAATCCATCTCGTTTGACAATGTGACTGCAGCGAGTGTTTTAGGTGACTCTTCAATGTTGCGAACCGTTTGCTAGAGGCTGTAAAAAACGATACTACTTCTTCGATAGTACCAAGTGAGTTTCTCACGCTTGTAACTTTGCAACTGCGAGAGATAGCGAGGTTGAGCTGATGACTTCTACACGGTGCTACTTGCGCCACAGCTCCTTTCAATTCTGACATATCAACTGAGCAACCATCACAGCCTATACCCACACAGTTCTCCAGTGACAGAGAAAGGCTTTCCATTCTCCTTAGAATAGTAGTACCCAATACTTCACCAGTAATGCTACGCTCTTGACTCTCTTGAGGTTCATCGTCAATGTTTCCACTACAATCATTGTCTTTATGGATGTCAACAAAACCCAAAAATCTTTCGTGTAATTTGCCGTAACCATCAACATATCTTGCAGCTAAACTCAGTTGGGCTATGTGCGCTATGTCCGTAGTCTCATCGAAGATGATACTATAGTATCGAGAATCTTTGATTTCCTCCAGTATTCTCGATGACATCACTGTTTCACAGCAAGGAATAAGTTCGTTACACGTTGTTTTACTTATGTAAGTGGCGTTTGCTTTAGTGGTCTCAATGTGATGTTTGAGTTGCAAGTCTCCAGCGTCAATTCTAAACCTTAGAAGAGCTCTAAAGTTTCCCTCCTTACACACTATACTTTCACGATCATTTTCGTTTTTTAATAGACTACCGTCATCTCTATGTCCCCGCAGAGGTATATTTTGCCTTCCATGAAATATGATTGTTTTTATTATAGGTACAAGACGGTCTCTGTTTTCTCTAATAATTTCCATTCTCTGTCTTGACAATTGATTTATGACCTCAAGCTCGCGGTTGTCTCGTGTCGCCAAAAATAATTTTGCATTTGTTGACGCTTCAACATGGTACTTGAGTTGAGAGTGGGTCTCAAGGTTACCATCTTTACCAGTAAGTTTGGCAAACTTTGTTAGCGGTTCAGTCACAAGTTTCTTGGCAATATTGGATTTTTTCCCCCAACCATTTTATTATTCACAAAAATTGAACAGTTGATGCAAAAAAGTCCCTGTTTAACTTGGGAGAACACCAGCCATGGATACTGTTCGAAGTGGTTATCGTGCACTTGTCTGCGTTCAACCTGTCCCCGCTTGTTGTGCTCGGAAGTAGGAAAGACATAACCTTTTCAGGTTTCGTTGGAGCAGTGAGAAGCTTGTATTTTATATCGTCACTAATATTTCCGGTCGCTAATATATCCAAATAATTGCCAATATCCGTGGGATTAAAGGAATCAGTCGATGAACTTTGTTGTGGAAGTTTCGACGAAGTGCTGGGTTCTGTCTGCACATCTGGTAGTGTTTTTGCGGCTGAATGATGACCGGAATTTTCAGATGTTTCTACTTTTCTTTTTCTTATTACATAACGGTCCATTTTATCATAGGTATTGTTGCGACGTAGCGTAACTAAATTAGATGTCAATTATTATTCTCGAATAAAGACTCCTTAGAGCAGCTTGTAGTACCTACACACACAATCACCCTGCGCGTATTTCTATTATCACTCAGCTAGCACAACACTGACTGAAGTTCGTGGTAATCGCAGTTGTTCACTTTTTATTACCTACTTCCAATGATTTTAGCTTTCAAACTGACTAAAATACGATGAAGTGGAGGCGCGACGCGCGTACTACATAGCATAGGAAAGTACAACTACTCGATAACTCGACTCAGAGTCGTCTGACGAAAAGAACGAATAGCGTGCATCATCTGACTGGCGGGGGAGGCGCGCGGGCGGCATTGCGGGCGCCCCCCATCTAAATCCGCCACTGCAATGACTGCAATGATTTTTATAAAAAATATGGAGTTTCACATCACAAATTGAAAACAACTAATAACTGATCGTGGTACTGCGATTATGCACTTTAATTTTTATTGAAAAACAAAGGAAACCACATACAGCGACCATGACACATTGAGAGTTATGGTTGGAGATGTCGAGTATAATGCAATTTCTTCGCGCGCAAAATTAAAATGATTTAGAAGATATAAGGTGTGGTTGTATGTGCCCCGTGGTTGAATTTGCCCCTCTTCACCTACATACATTGCATGAATATACATAGTGACTGGTATCGTAACGTATTAAGGTGCAGAAAACCAAAATGTCGAATCCAAAAGCTAAATGATTAGAAACTCTGATTCACTACCAATACGTTATATCCTACATCCCCAACGGTTTTTCATGATAAGAAAATTCAGTTTTTTACGAAATTTCCTGTTTTTACGAACACTAGAATAATTGAAGGAAGCTGAGAAATTGTTCTCTCCATATGTAACTAGCTCCGACATTTGTGGGGAGGGGCTACTGCCTCAGGTTATCGGAAGAAATGATTTAGTGAGTCTGAAATATCACAAAGAACTACCACAGAATAATAATTTTGATAAATAAAAGGTAGCTGAACAGAATCAACAAACTAAAAATGAAATGATTAGTTATTGAAACTAACTTAGATAGCGTGACAAATTTATTTGCCTTATTTTTGCCGCATATCTATTCATTACAGGATTATTTATTTATTTATTTATTTATTTATTTACACTGTTCTACAGAAAAAAAGATTTCCAATTACAGAACAGGAACTAAGTAAAAATTTGCACAAAAGTAAACAATAGAAAACAAACAATAGAAAGAAACAATAGAAAAAACTTGGCATAATACACAATTTACACAATAGGGATATGATCAATATATATGTCTTTTCCTTTAAATAATCGTTCCTGGCCGTTCGTAACCAACTCAAAATTAATCTCATTATGGAGAATTACCTTTCACACCTTGCAGAAGATACTGGCAATGTTATCGCTACTTGAAAAAGAACATATATAATGATGGAAATACTTCTAACGTGAGTTCATTTTTGATAGTGTCATATTTTTTTGTTTGCTGAACTATTTCTCAGAACTGTCATTTCAGCCTTTATGACATTTTTTTCAAGCTCAAAACACTGCATAATTATTAGTAAAATCTGTGGATCTTTCGTAATCAAGCGCGAAGAATTTGTCTATAGCTGCCGCGATTCATCTTGATATCAAAAACCATACCACAGAACCTATAATCCTATAGAGAACATTGACTTTCTAATATTCGACAACATTTGGAGAATCTGCACCTTCTGCAGCTCCAACTGTCGAGTCAGTCACAAAATCCTTTAGTTTCACTAACACCTTCTTTTTTCTCTTGGATGATAGAGATTCCAAGGTCACGTCCACCTGAGCTGCAAAGTCACTAATTTTGCCATGTATGTGCTCATAACTGTTATCAGAGCGCATTGCTTCTAAAGTTTTTATCACATCTTTTATTACTCCAACCGCTCCTCCCAATGTTGCTGTTGTTGATTGGAGTGACTGGGATGAAATATTTAGTATGGTGAGAATCTCTTCCAAGACCAGCAAATGGACGAGGAAAGATGCTTGTTTCATACAGGATAGTATACCGATGGCTGTTACGGCCTGCTGGTCTTGCCTATTCTCAATTTCCTGCTCCAGTAACTAGATCGTGATACCTATCTGGTGTCTGACAGTTGGGGTATCTTAGTTATTTTGATATCCAATTCATTCATGATATTTTTGTATCTTACATGATGGTGCGGTTTCGAAAAATGGTCGTAAAAGGCTTGCAGAGTATTGAAAAAGTTTGCAATGCACTGTACGTTTTGCAAGTGTCAAGAAGTGCTAAATTGACCCTTTGTGTCATACAATGCGTATAAATTGCATTAGGATAGGTTTATATGATTTTGGCTTGCAAACCTTCAATTTGTCCAGACATCACAGCTGCACCATGATATGACGGTCCCACTAAATGCAATTCAGATAGTTTCAAGTCCACGAGCTCCTGATTTATCAGGAAATATAACTTTGCAGCAGTTGTTATTCCTGAACAATCGATGAATTTCAGAAACCTCTCTTTCACTTCCAGTCCAGACGAATATTTGATACACAGCGACATTTGTTCTTTGCGGCCTGCGCGTGCCTCGTCCACCATGATGGAGAAAATTTGGCACTCTTTTGCTAGTATCCCTATTAGGTCATTTTGTGTCTCCCAACTGGTATGATTGATATGCCTGCTGAAGTATGCAGCGAAGTCTACATTGCATTTAGTCAATTTTTTGCAAATCTCTTTAAAATTTCCCTCATTTAAGGAAGGCTCATCGTGACCTCTAATAAAAGTCCTAGCCTTGCTAGCAGCAAACAAACCTCTGCTAAGGTTTTGATGTAAGCTCTGCTCTTGTTTATCATATCTCTATGCGCATTTGACACTTGTGTAAGAATGTTTAATCCTCTCTATCGGTTCCAAACTGGCGACAGGGAAAACAGAACACACTGTTAAACAATATGCTGTATTCTAGCCAGCCGTACATCTAATAGTATGACGCTGTAAAACTTCTAGATTGTTTTGCAAAAACACTCCGGGGAAATGTCTCCATAAACGGCTGTCCCTTTTTCTCTCATCAGTCGAAACAGTATTTTTTTAAGCACTCACACTTAAGCAGACATTGCTTCCACATGTTTTTGGTGGTCTAGGGACCCGGGGACCCCAAAACGTAAAAATAAGCAATAATCTCGGAGGGTGATTTTTTCACGATTACAATACCTCCCTCTGCGAGGAAAGTAAAACCACCTTACGTATCTGAAGACATACGGTTTGTAATAATAATTAAAGTATGCATATGACAAATCGGCCATTCGGACATGATGAAATAATCACCTGACCTAACCGACAAGATCCATTGACTGGACTCTATATAGGTACATATATTCTATATCCGTAATACCGTGATATGTAATATTATATATATACAATTTCCACTTAACTGCTACCTATTGTGTGAAACGTAATAAGGAAAGAAATTTATCCATGCAACATTCATTTATCACTTCACTGAAACAATGAAACAAAACCGATCTGTAATCTGTTTGATGGTAGCTTGTGCAAACTGCAAACTTACTGCACCGAACATTAACAGGACCAGATTAGAATGAAAGGTTCACTATGAGTCAGCCCGAAACGACAGCCGAAACTCAACTCCACTACTTGACCAGTCAGGCTGATCAAATTCACAATAGCTGCGTTCGTTATTTTTTCAGGAGCATTGTTAGGCAACTAGTCAAACTTTGAAATTTAGAAATGATATACAAATAAAAGGTTAATAAAGAATTAGGGTGGATATGTTGTATGCGAGCTAAGGGGGGCTCGCTTCCCCCCCTAGCCCCCATCATAATTGCGCCACTGTAAAGAAGATTATTCAACCAAGATTAGTATATATTTTTGTAAATTGAAACATTTCAGGTGGTTCGCCCTGTGAAGGCATACAATGATTCTTTCGTATGCGAATCTATAATTACTATCCGCAATAGTTTTATATTCGTGTTACCATTATTATTTTTTTCAGATTCTACCGCTCTCACTGCTGTTTACGTCAATGATAGCCACAAATAACTTATGTTTGAAATATGCGTCAGTCGCATATTACTATATAGGAAGATCACTGACCACTATATTCAATGTAGCATTTACTTATTTAATATTAGGAGAACAGACTTCGAAGAAATGTATTGCATGTTGTGCCTTGATAATTTTCGGGTTCTGGCTAGGAGTCGATCAAGAAAACATAGCAGGTGAGTAGTACGCAGAAACAAATAATTATTTTTTTAACCTTATTGAAGTTTCAAGTCGACTAGACTTCTTCTTAAAACAAATGAAAGGTCTCATAACATATCATATTTCAAGTCAATATCTCATTGATGCCTGAAAACTTGGTTATTTC